AAATTAGTCTTAATTCAAACCAGAGAGAGGAAAAATCAACAAAGTGCTTTTTTCATTATCATTCTGTAGTAAAACATAATGATCGGGGCCTACACTGTGGTGCACTAGGTTAATCCTCCGCCTGTGGCGCCGGCATCCCATATGGGCGCCTGGTGCTAGTCCCGGTTCCTCCTCTTTGGTCCAGTTCTCTGCTGTGGCCTGGGATAGCAGTGGAGGATGGCCCAAAGTGCCATGCATCCACATGGGAGACCAGGAAGAAACTCCTGGCTCCTGGCTCCTGCTTCGGATTGGCACAACTCTGGACATTACAACCTTTTGGGGAGTGAACCAATAGAAGGAAGACCTTTCTTTCTGTCTCTCTCTCTTACTGTCTGTAACTCTACCTGTCAAAGGAGAGAGGAATCTGGAATTCTATGTAGAAGGAGGAGAAAATGTATACCAATTCCAAACTTGAGGAACAAAATAACAAGCTGTAGTTCACTTTACTGACTGCCCTCCTTTCAGTTTTTCCAAGAATAAGAAACCAATGAAAATCCTGGAGTGGAATGGGTGGAATTTCTATAAAGCACTCAATTCCATCCAAGTATCACAAGAGGTAGCTCATGGTTGACAATGGGATTTATCATCCACATCTCCTTTCAGAATTGAACTGTCCATCCCCTAAGTGCTGGTAAGGTTGGCTGCTGATAACCTGCAGCTGCGTGTCGTTGTGAACGCTTTTTTCAATCAAAGGAAGTGTCCTCACTTAAAGGCACACACCTTTCCCAGGGCTGTTGCCAAGCATGCACTGAAAAATGCAGGAGTGCAAAGACGTGGATCTCTCATCTTGGTTTGAGGTTCTCTGAAGACCTGCTCCAAGTTAAGAATTCCCCGAAGGAAAGGCTGAAGCCATTATTTCCACTGTGATATGTTTAACCTCTCCTTGTGCCTGCTCTTGCTTTCCTTTCTCCCTCAACTTTGTTGTTAGGAGAGCTCCCCTCAATCAAATCCCAAAGCCTCAGAGTCCATTCCAGGAGAACCCTAACCTTGACAAATTCCTACACTTAAAAGCTAAACAAAAAGGGGCAGTCATTTGTCCTGGAGGTTAAACTGCTGGTTGAAATTCTCACATCCAATATTGGAACGCCTGTGTTCAAGAGCTAGGCACACTCCTGACTGCAGCTTTCTGCTAATGCAGACCCTGGAAGGCAGCAGATGATGGCTCCAATATTTGGGTCTCCGTGACATGTGGCAGACTCAGATTGAGTCCCCAGAACCCAGTTTCAGCCTGAGCCCATCCCTGCCCATTGCACACATTTTGGAGAGTAAATCAGAGATGGGAGAACGTGTTTCTTTCTTTCTCTCCCTCTCTCTCTCTCTGTCTCTCTCTATATCCTCTCTGCCCTGTCAGTCTTTCATATATAAAATATCATTTTTTAAATATAAAGAAGCAGAAAAAATTTGCCTAGTTTAAATTTGGGAAAGGGAGTTGAGAACTCAGGGTAGATCTTTTCATGAATAAATCAATTCTTTTGGAATGAATTTTAGTTGTTCTCTGTTTCTGAGGAGTCTGGGAAAAATAGGACAAAGAATTCAGAGACCTTGTGATTGATCTCTGTTCATGAATTTTGGAAGGAGAATTAGTCCCTTTTCATACTTAGATATTCAGAGTTTAAAGCAATATGTTAGGCCCTTTTTATTTGTTCACATGCTGGACATCTATGAAACTATTCCTGGATGGCAGTTACTGTGCTAAGCACAGGTAATTCAAATAAGATGTAGTTCCCAAATGCAAGGGACTTATAAGCTAGCAAGAATATGAATTACAAAATAAAAGTGAAAGACAGTGTAATAGATTCTGTAATAGCCATGTACACAGGATTCTATATGAATAGATAGGGGAAAAATATATGTAATGGGGTGGACAAATAGCTGAAAGATTCCTGAAGCAAATGAAGATTGAGTTGACCCATGAAGGACAAAAGGAAATCATCCAAACAGGAGATAGAGGAAGGGGGATTTGAAAAAAATTTCATCTGGAAATTACAGCATATTCTGAGACCCTTGAAGGAGTGAAATAGACATAGTTCAAAATAATTAATGTGAAAAGTATTGTTAATGAGTCTAGAGGGCTGGGTAGCAGATGGTCAGGTTATGGTTCTTCCCAGATATAAAGGTTTGACTTTAATTCTAGAGGAGTTGGGATGAACACTTAGAAGGAGGTTATAGAGGAATTACATGATAAGACTTGTTCTTCACAAATTTCATTCTAACGCAGGCCACTGTTCTTTTATCCTTCATTTAAAGATCAAATATGTATTCTCTCAGGGTTCTGGATAATTATCCAATGGCATGCATAGCCATCCATTGTGTAAGTGCCCTTCTCTAACACTCAGTAACATAATACAAATAAAGTCAGATCTGTCAGTCATGTGAACAGAACGAGTGAAGTAACAAAGGCTGTGGAAGCACTTTGGGGCTGCATTAGGGAGAGCACCTCCTCCCCATGCCCAGAATTGAAGTTACCAAAATCCATTGGAATTAAGATCCTAGAAAAAGTTAAATTAAAATTTCCATTATATTAAAGTCATATTTAATGCATGAGGATTAATTAGGAAAAAAAGTCTAGAGTCTCCTGGTATGGAGGTAGGGGGTATTGAAGAAGTTAATAAACATTCATAAACAAAAAGAAGTTAATAAACATTGTTGTACAGGAAGCTGCTCCAGAGCACAATGCAGCCCAGGTAATGGCAACCATAGAATTTAGCCCTGATTTCAATGGAGTTCAGTTGATGACTTCTTTTTTTATAGATTTATTTTATTTATTTGAAAGACAGAGTTACATAGAGAGGTAGAAAATGAGAGAGAAGCATCTTCCATCCACTGGCTCACTCTCCAAATGGCCACACTGGCTGGATTTGAGCCTATCTGAAGCCAGGAGCCAGGAGCTTCTTCCAGGTCTTCCACATAAATGTAGGGACCCAAGGACTTGGGCCATCCTCCACTGCTTTCCCAGACACATCAGCAGGGATCTGGATAGGAAGTGGAGCAGCTGGGACTTTAACTGGTGTTCATATGGGATGCTGGCTCTGCAGCCTGGGGCTTTTACCCCCTGCACCACAGCACAGGTCCCAGTTGATGACTTCTGTGAAAGTTACATAGGTGTGAGGAAACTTCCTTCCATCAAGGGCCAGTTGGATATTTATAACATCATTCATGAGCCATACAACATTATTAACTGACATTAGCTATAGATTTGTTAAATTTCAAGTCCTATTTTCATTTGCTTTGGCAAGGCCAGACCAAATTGTTTCATGAATGTATGTGACCTGTTCCACACCCCTGGGAGGCAAAGAACAGATGGAGAAATTTGGAGAGTACTTGGGTGTAAAAATGGAGATTACCCTACAAAAGATTCAGATTTTCATAAACTGTGAAACTAAGTCTCACCCCCATCCCACCCCCTGCCCCTTATTCTCCCTCTTCTGTCCCCAGTGAAGTTGGGACAAATTATTTCAAGAGTGGAATGATGTGTAACTCAAAAAAATTGTTTTCACTAATAACTATTTTAAAGTCCTTGTTGGGTGCTGGTGTTGTGATGCAGCGGGTTAACTTGCAATCTGTGAAACCAGCATCCCATATCTGAACATATTTGGGAATGAACCAACGAATGGACGATTTCTTTCTCTGTGTCTCCCTCTCTTTGTCAATCTGTCTTTGAAATGAATAAAATAAATCTTTTGAAAAAATAAATAAATAGGTTTCAGCATTGTGGTACAGAGGGCTAAGACAATACTTACAATGCCAACATTCCATATGAGCACTGGTTTGAGTTCTGGCTGCTCCACTTCTGACCTAGCTCCTTGCTAATGTGCCTGGGAACGCAGTAGAAGATATCCCAAGTGATTAGGTCCCTGTAAGCCAAGTGGGAGACCCAGGTGGAATTCCTGGCTCCTGTATTTGGACTGGCCTGGCCCTGGCTGTTATGGTCATTTGGGGAGTGAACCAGCTGAAGGAAGATTCTCTCTCTCTCTCGCTCACTCTCGCTCTCACTCTCTCTCCCTCCATCTTTCTGTCTTTCTCTCTCTGTCTCCATGTCTCTGGAGCTTTGCCTTTCAAATAAATAAATCTGTAAAAATAAGTGAATAAAAAGTCATTGTCAGCTAACAGTTATTTACCAGATATGTGTGTTCTGCTTCTATGATGTTTGTCTCTTGTAGGGAATTGTATATGCTTCTATTTATGAGGCCTTGTACATAAAAATGATTTTAGACAGATGACATGATGCTATTGTCTACCAAAAAAGATAGCTTCCTCTTGTGATTAGACAGATAGGAAGGTTGATCACTTCATGGGTCCAATAAGAGATTGTTCTGCATTGAGGCTGGTTGGTAGTTTTGATAAAACTCACTCTATCATTGCCCACCCTATTTGTAGGGCAAGACTCTTTCAGAGTATTTGTCTCTGAAACCTAAAATTGACAACAGGAGACTTCATTTGCAAGTTGAGGGGTTAGCTTGAAAATTTGGGAAATGCTTTGTGAAGATAACCAATAACATATTGAAGTACTCATTTCTCCCTTTAGTAGTTTTCTGTTTCCTGATCATAGAAAGAGGGAAGGAGATTAAATCTGACTTAAAAAAAATAAAAATAAAAACTCAACTCAGAACTTCAGACTAGTGTAGTACACCGAAACTCAGCAAATATCTCTGCAATTAAGTCTTCTCAAGTGTCAGGTTTGTCATTTTCCTAGGGGGAAAAAAATCTCTGGTTTCTTTTCTCATCCAACCCAGCCTCCACCCCACACCTTCTTCCCACAGAATCCTTCTACCCAAGCAAAGGTTGATGCCTTGTCCAGGTCCAGAATCAACAAATGTCCTTGGAGCTAACTTATCTGTGATCATCAGCTGTCATGGAGTAATTCTCTGTTCTCAGTAATTATGTTCATCTTGTTGCTTTCATGGTTCTTTGATGCCTTTAAATCTTTTGCTTTTGTTTTGTAATTTTCTGACTTTCTTTACGTCATTGTGGTAAGAACATTGGCCTTCTGGAGCAATTTGAGCAGCAATTTTAAGTGTCTAAAAATTTCTAGACAAATCTTGCTCTCAGCATGGAAATTTGACTTTCATTATTTATTGATTTTTAAAAAATTCATGATGAAGAAATGTATCATGCATTCATTAATGTTTTATATAATTTGAATTTTACTAATTACAATAGGATTGATAACTATGTGAAAAATATTACTATACCTGGGTTGTATTATAGTTTCGGATTGAAAGCAAAATATTGTGGCATATAGTCACAAAATACTTACATGCTTGTAAATGACAGATTGACAATCATGAGACTAAGTATTTTATCTAAACATTCAAAAAATCAATAGGCTGGGTGGCAATTAATCAAATTCTGCCTATGCTAAATGCAGATTTCAAAGCCCAGCAATCTCTTCATTTATTTCAGAACTTGTGAATAAATTAAATACTGGCATAAGTCTTGTGAAAAGGTTTTGGACTTGGAAAATTTGGCCTTGTTAGTCTACTTTTATCTAAGCTGAATCATACCGTGTTAACTATTACATGCTTTCATCATTGCTTTCAGGAAATTACTCTTTAATAAGGAGAAAAATGTGATAGGATGATTTGGGAAATAGCAATTTGTGTTTATTTCGCTTATTTCCCTGCTATTTATGCATCCCTCACTCAAAAGATTTTTGTTGTTAGGGTAAGATACAATTTATTCTCTTACAGTCTCTTTTTTAAGCTTTGTTTTCAGAATGCCTGATTCATTAAGGGTAATGCTCAAAAGGATCTGGAATTTAAGGCAAGGTAAGCAAGAGTAATAGGAGTTTGGACTTGATAGGGGACGGTCCTGATCCTAAATTGACTCTTAATAAGGTCCATGAGAGGACTGGCTGGAAGAACTAAGGATATGCCTACCATCCAAAGTGATTTGCTTTGATCCATGTGTAAATGACGATGTGTGCTTAGTGAATGAGAATGTCAATGAGGATCCAATGATTAGATGCTTTCCTTTAGCGCCTTATCCAGACAGCTTTCTGAAATTCTTTTATGTCCCAAGGGAAAGAAAGACATTGTCCTGAACAATATAGGTTGAGTTTCTTGGTGATTCAGTTGGCTAGGACCTTAGAATCTCATTTTGTGAATTTTAAAAATGGATACTTAATGCTTCTTTAATTATTTCAAATTCTTGTATTCAAAATTATGTAAGATGCCAAAAATGGGCATTGAATAAGCCAAGTTGTTTGCTAGTGTCATTGTGAATACAAAGGCATTAGTTATGTAGCATTCCATAGACTCTATTCCAATGTTGGTAATTTTTGCTAAGAACAAGCAAAAACAAAAACCTGAATTCTGAACCACACATTAATCAGCCTAAACTTAAGCCTTTTGAGTATTTCATGTGTTCACACACAGTTAATGAAGCATTGTTGAGTTCTTTAAGGACTTTGTAATGAAAATTATAAGAATTATTAGAGTTTAAAAATGATGCAACAAAGAATTGAGTAAGAGGAAGGTGGTTCAAGATTTGTTGTAGATGAAATGAAAGCATAATACATGAACATGAACACATGAACATCTTTTTTTTTTTTTTTCCACTAAGCACAGGCCTCGAAAGGCAGTTCAGTAAGCCCTTTAAGTGAGGTAATGACCTTGGGCCTCTCCCTACACTCAGACTCCACCTAGGAACTAATGCCACAGCCATGTTCAAAATTTCTGGTTTACTCAGTGAAACAGCAGTACCTGAACAGTTAAAATTTCTAAAGAAAAAAAATGAGAGTTTCCTTATGAAAATAATTTGCAAAAACAAATGCTATTGTAAAATACCAGGATTAATATATTAATCAGAGTTTTTTGAATGCTCACATTATGTTGCTTTGTTATTCTTATTCACATGTAAATGAAGGATGGAATGATCCTCGCATTAATGAATATCATTCTTAAGGATCTGATTTAGAGAAATAAAAATGTCCTTCATGCTTATAAATCATTTTAAATCATGGATCAGGAGTTTATTTTAGTGAGAAAGTCACCTTATTTTTTCAAGAAACTACATTAAACTTTATATATATATGTATATATATACAGATATATATATTTATTCAGCTGGTGGAATTTACAAAAGAAATATCTGCTCAGAAATGAAATAACAGGAGATAACTTCAGAAATTTATTTCCTTCTCATTAAAGGACAATACATCTTAACTAAGACAAATCTCAGTGCATCTACACCAAAGGTCAGAACTGCTGACCTAGAGGTTTACACTTGTTAGTCCAAAGAGGTGTAAAGTTTGTCCAGGAGTGTTTTCATTGATTTAAAAAATGAATAATTGTGATAAGTGATTGCTGTTAAATATAAGAGTGGGAATAAGAGAGGGAAGAGATGTGCAATTCGGGACATGCTCAAGCTGACTTACCTCAAACGGTAGAGTTACAAACATACCAGGGGATTCCAATTCAATCCCATCAAGGTGGCATGTACCAATGCCATCTCACTAGTCCCAGTGATCAATTTCTGGTCACAATTGATCATAATGATAGGACTAAGAACCAAAGGGATCACAGAAACAAGAATAGTGTCTGCAAATACTAGCTGATAGAATCAAAAAGGGAGGGAACGATCCAACATGGGAAGTGAGATACACAGCAGACCCATAGAATGGCAGATGTCCTAAACAGCACTCTGGCCTCAGAATCAGCCCTTAAGGCATGCGGATCCGGCTGAAAAGCCCATGAGAGTATTTCAGGCATGGAAAGCCAAGACACTCTGGGGAAAAAAAAAACCAAAAACCAAAAACCAAAAACAAAAAACAAAACAAAACAAAAAACCTAAATGAAAGATCTCCACGAGTGAGATCCCAGTAGAAAGAACGGGTCATCAAAGAAGGAGGTACCTTTCTCTGAAGGGAGGAGAGAACTTCCACTTTGACCATGGCCTTGTCTAAATATGATCAGAGTCGGTGAACTCAGGGGGCTTCCATAGCCTTGGCAGCTCATGACAAGAGCCTAGGGTGATTACTGATGCCATAAACAAGAGTGTCAATTTGTTAAGTCAACAACAGGAGTCACTGTGCACTTACTCCTCATGTAGGATCTCTGTCCTTAGTGTGCTGTACATTGAGATTTAATGCTATAACTAGTACTCAAACAGTATTTTTCACTTTATGTTTCTGTGTGGGAGCAAACTGTTGAAATCTTTACTTAATGTATGCTAAACTGATCTTCTGTATAAAAAGAGAATTGAAAATGAATCTTGATGTGAATGGAAGGTTAGAGGGAGTAGGAAAGGGGAGGGTTGCGGGTGGGAGGGACGTTATAGGGGGGAAGCTATTGTAATCCATAAGCTGTACTTTGGAAATTTATATTCATTATATAAAAGTTAAAAAAATAAAAAAAATAAAAAAGAGAAAAAAATGAATTATTGTAAATCTTTAAAACTGGAGAGATCATTCAGCAAATCCTCATTTCTGGCTTGTTGTGCCAAAGCAGAAGATGTGATAACACTATGGTTGCATTTGTACTTGGCAACACCACTGACAGCTGAAGAGCAGCTATTGCTCTCAAACTGACATTTTCTCCAGTTCATGCCAAACGTTAGGTGCAATGTATCATCAGAGTATGTGCTATTGCTCTTTTTTTTAACAGAATTACAAGAAAAGTGATATACCATCTATCTCTATCCAACGTGAGAAAATAAAGGATAAGCTGAGAAAGCACTATAGTCAAGAAAAATGTTGGTGAAATTTTTGGTATAAAATACCAGTATAACATTTTTATTATAAATGATTCTAATTTTAATAAAGCCTACCACTTAGCTGAGGGCGGCCACAACCATAAAAGAGGATTGATGGAGATAAATCTCCAGAAGCTTACAAAGAACTGAATTCCATCAGGGTTTATTTTTGTATTTTGTCTATTTTTTGAATGCTTCCCTGTAAGTCATATACTGATATAAGTTTATTTATTGCACAAAAAGTGTCAAAACCTTTTACAGCTGTTATATTTATAAATAAGTCTCTATTGAATGTAGAAGAAGAAAAGTAACTGCAGCAAGTATTTGAAGATGCAAATCTGTCTTGAAATACTGTAGCTAGCTTTATTGTAATAAGCTTGGAGATTAAAAGGCAAGTTAAGGTAAAAAGAAAACTATTGTGTTGCAGTTTTTAAAAATTATATATTAAGTTTAAAACTGTGGAATGGCAGGTAAAGTAACCATCTATGATGCTGGTAGGTCTGCTTCACATCTAGCTCTCTGCTAATGCACCTGGGAAAGCAATGGAAAATAAATGAATTATTGGGCCCTTGCACCCAAGTGGGAGACATCATGAACTCATCTCTTGGCTTCTGCCTGGCTCAGCCCTGGCCATTGTGGTCATCTGGGGAGTGAACCAGAGGATTTAAGACCTTTCTCTGTCCTACCCTCTCTCTGTAACTCTGCCTTTCAGATAAATAAAGTGAATCTAAAAAATCACAATGTTTTCCAAGACTGTAGTCTTCAAATCAGTTTACTGGTTTCAGATATTCATTTAGTATAAAACATTAAAAAGTCATATGATATGACATGGTAATTAATAACATAAACTAAACATCAAAGAAATATCTTTATTTTCCTTGATTAATCAGTGCATAAGAGAATAAGTTATAAAGCAAACTGAGCTTGGTAGCTTGGTCTTGACCCCATTAAGAGAGTTGACTTGTTTGTGTCATCCAAGGGAGAATCTCTACCTTTTCATTCAACACTGGCTGAAGCATTTAGACATCCTGGTTAATACCACCAATTTAACTTTTAATAGATCTAGACAGATTATCCACAATCAGTTATGCAATGATGTGATGAGAATCAGTAATACTACGCTTAAATTACATCTTTAAGAAATTCATTTAGCACAAAAAATAATGCAGATTATTTTATTTTGACAATATCAATTTGCAGAAATAACAGTGATGACCCAACTATGTTCCAGTACTGTACACCTCAAGCCTGAAGTTCAATGAAGATTTTCAC